GGGGGGAGGGGGGAGGGTGAACCCATGCACATCTTGCTCCTGGCCGAGCCTGCGTATTCGATGCACAGGCCCAAACAGCAGCTGCACACAGACCGGAAACCGGGACGCGTGTTGGTGGAGATCGCACGGCGGCAGACGTAGCGTCGTAGATGGGCTCTACATATTGCCGAAGCTCCAGCTCCAGCCCCAGATGTTCTCGGCAGTAGGGCGCCGGTCTCACTCTGCTATGCGGCGCGTGTCCGGGCACTGCTGCACTGGCCGCTGCCAGCCTGGCTGATACGCGGTGCTGCTCTCCCCACTCATGTAGGCTGCACGCGTCCAACTTTCCTGCCGCAGCGCTGCTAAACCAGAAGGCAGAGACGCAGTACGTGCTGCCTGTGTGAGCGCTGAGTGCTGGTCAAGCTGCTCGCTCTCCGGTCTGCTCTCTTCCGAACGACTGTCCTGTACCCGGACGAAATGCGACGGAACGGTAGACGGTATGGACAACGGTAGACGGACGACGGAATGGTGCGGTGGCGGCGGCGGTGGCGGTTGCCTTGCCGTAGCCTGCTGTTACGACTCCCCGTGGCAGATGCAGTTAAAGGGGATGCGATAGAATTGCAACAATCATGAAATTGCTGAAGAAAGAACATAACGCATCTCGTAACCATTGCGTGCATTTCTAATTTGCTTGTTAACCAATTGAAATATAGAAAAAGGTAGATTTGAGTAATTGTGTGATAGGTGGAAGTCGGAACTGGAGTCTGATATTTCTGATGATGCGATTAATTAACAACTACAAGGTCACCTTCACATCAGATCTGTTTTTGAGTTGACGCTGGGGAAAATCTGGCGTTGCCTGAGCTTAGCCGTGTTGAGGCCGTACCGCGTCTCCTCTCCCATCTCCACCGAACACGCCTCGATGGCGGAGCACACGGCCCTCTCCACCGCCTGGATGTGAGCCGAATAGGGCGGGATGGCCGGCGGAGCCCGCACTTTGTCTCGCGGCTCGCCATCGCTGAAGCCTCGCAGTGGAGGCCGTGTAACTGGCCCGCGCCAGGAGATCAGCTGGCAGTACCTCACGGCCTCGAAGTTTATCACGGGGATGACGAAGACTCTGGGCTGAAGATAACCCCGCTTTGCCGCTCACGCGCGACGCGATGATCCGGGCCGCATGTTCGAGGACCACACAGCTTCGTCCCCCCACTATGCCCAGCAGCAGCTGTTCCGGACGGACCCAGTATCCGTTGCGCTGGAGGACTGGCTGCACCGTTGCCTGTGTGTGTGCTGCGGCAGCTCGCCGAGCAGCGCGACGCTCCGGAACGAGCTGTGTGAGCCCAACTCGCAGCGGCTGCTCAGCCGGATGGCGGACCATACCGGTACGTAGTGGCCAGTCTGGACGGGGTTCTTGTACACACACTGGACGAAGTCCCTGAAAGCGCTACTGGAGGTCTCCGTAGAGATGTGAGTTAGGAGCAGAGGAGCGGCCAGTGTCAACCATCGACAAACAAAAGCGAATAGATTAGAACAATTTGTTACGAACTGAGCATGACACCCAAAATTGCGACTTAATGCAATGAACAACACAAAAATTGTTACGCCTCTTCAGCGCATGTTATTATGCCGATATTTATAGGCATTACATGTGACGGAATTTATATAAGCTAATAATATACTAATATTAGTACTAGTACTAATAGTTAATATATTAGCAAGCATGAACCAACGAGCAAATGATACGACGTTCTATGGCACAACGCATGGTCCTGAGTAATAATGTTCAACAGTGAGCAAGTGAAATACCAAGTGATACGTGAAAAAGCTTAGATATTCATTGCTATAAATTTGAAGATAATGCGTTTTCATATATACCAGAATTGTTTCAATGATCCCATGCAACGCCGGGCTGTCGCGGTTCGGACGGAGCCATCTTGAACGCTGAAGGCCACCAGGTACAGCAGCTGCTAGTCGGTGCTCAGCTGCTGGATCAGGGCGACCGGCAAGTTTGACACATACCCCGGAATAGGCTCGAACGCCAATACGTCCCTCTCGCAAACCTCTCCATCGCAGGTCCTGCCAATGGGTCCAGAAAAAGATGTCGGCCCCGTGGTCGTGCCGCCCAGGCTCAGCAGCAGATGGCGGAGGCTCAGCTCGTTGCCTTGTAGCTGGCAGATGAACTATTGTACGGGTGGCTCGTTGGCCAGCTCAAACAGCCGGAACACGCCGCCTGTCGGTCCGGTGCTGACAGCCGTGCCATTGCAGCCGAGCACATTGAGCACATCGCACTGCAGGCTCACGGAGCCCACTCGTTGAGCAAGTGCAGGGCGCGGCCGAACTTGGACGTGAAGTGAGTCACGTAGCGGCCGCCTGGATCAGCGATGACGACCAGGTGTTTTCGACGGCATTTGCGTGGCTGTGTGTGGCTCATGTGGGCTCTGTCTTCGCGGCCGTCGAAGTAGAGGACGGTTAAACCTGATTCGTAGATTGATTCAGCATTTTGATGAGCCGTCTTTTCTCTCGCTCTTTGCCCTGCCCGCCATGTCTTCTTAGGATCCACAATATTTGATTTCAAGCAGCCATTCCGTCTCTGCTGTCTTTTTGGAGGGCGTTGATGATAGCAGCAGCCATCGTAACTGTTAGAGCCATCGTAGCTGTAAACCGTCAGAGCGGTAGTAGTCAGATCGTTAACGTCATAATCTACAGTGGCAGTAGTCTCACCCGGAACGAACGATCGGCGCCGTCGCCACCTTCTACCATGTACAGAGCCGTGCCAGAATCCGTGCTCTCAGCTGACTCGCCAGCGATAAGATCACCCGGTCGCGGAGTGGGTGTCGCGCACGTCACTGTATTCGGCGACGAAAGAGAAAATGTGGCGGTAGTTGCCCTTCGTTCTCTTCAGTTAACAACCCGAGCCCCGTGCGGTGCGACACAAGTGTAATCACCCGCATCTCAGGACTCGGGCTGTCAACCGGCTGAATGCAGCCGAGTGGCCGGGCTAGCACTGTTGCGTTGGTCGTGCTGGTCCGGTTTGAAACTTCGCTGCCGGCGTCGAGGTGATGCCGCCCCGGACTGACAGACAGGGAAGCGCGTCCAGAGAGGGACGGATCACGAAGAGTAAATAACACTGCGCTGTCAGGTTGCACAAATAGTATATTAGCGTTATGTTTGGTTTTTGGTTTTTGGATTACAACCCTTTTGACAGACATGATCATTTCAGGGCTATGGGATGAAGGAAAATGGTTAACGATGGGACAGACGTGCATACGCCTGAGGGGCCAACCGCCGAGCTTTAAACCGCGCATGCGCGGGGACCCGGCCGGTGTACCCATTCCCACGAGGCTCTCGGCCCACTCGTGGCTAACGCATGCAGCCTGTCCCGGACAAGCGCGGTGTCGTGGGGATGCAAGATGAAGCAAGATAGAGGATAAGGGGGACGGATTTAACGATATGGCTCGGTTCGACTGCCACACTCTATCACTACCTAACATTAACAGAGCAGCGAAGCTATGGGGACGCACACAGTTCTCACCCGACGCACAACGCTACACACACAACAACAGCACTCGTTGGCACCACCTATTGGTGACCCATGCGACTAGGTTTTGACCCCGTGCCGCTACACGGGCTCGAGTTCAGCACTACCAGCCGGCGCTGGCTCGGCAGGCGGCGCGAGCTCAGCAGCCGACAGAGGAGGAGGCCCAGGTTCAGCAGCAAACACCGCCTCACTGGCGACCGGGCCACGACGCCCCTGGAACCGCCTGGTCATCCTCCGCGCCTCACGAGCCTCCCTAGTCACAGCCGTAGCCCGGTCATATGACCCCAAGGTAAACTTCCGGTGCCTGCGCGAAGGCTTTTTCGTAGCCGGCAGGTGGTGGTGAAAGCCGGGTGGCCTATCACAAAGTGCTGTCGTGCGTGACCGTGTGGCCTTCTGAATGATTATTTAAATAACTGTTCAAAAGAAACGTTTCAGTACGCGCGAAACTAAGCTAACAAATTTGTATCGCCCACACAACAGACTTATTAAGTGCAAATCAACATCACAATGATGCGTAAACAATCTCAACTTTGAGCCTGCCCCGGCCTGGTGGAGCATTCTCATAATTGCACAGCTTCGGTCGCACCAAAAAGTAATGTTCTCCAATAAAAAGTCAGCTTAATAGCTGTTTGACAATATTTTGCTGGCGTTCTTCGTGATATCTATCTCATACTCAATCCACCAAGTACCAGTGGTGTGGAAAGTGGCAGGATTAAGGCTTGTTGGAACACGGCCCCGATGCGTAAAATATATGACACTATTATCAAACACAATTTTCTTGGCCTATCGAAGAAAAACTGCTCTTGCGTCACAAAAATCAGTATTGGTGTGTGTGGCTAAGCTGAAAGTTTATTATGAATCCCTGTGCCAAGGAAAAACTTTGTCTCATTTGACTCCAAGATATTTACCCATCGATGACACACCCTGATGCTCATATTATCATATTATTTCATGTCATGTCTAATCTTGCCTGCTGTTCTAACTCCAGGATGCCGATAGTGTAGTGGCTTATAGATTTTCTGATACAGCGTACCCGTCCAACATTTGTGTTGATCATTATCAGGAGGTCAATTTCTACCAGCGCAGGAATTTTGGACACAATCTAAGGAATCCACTTTCTCACTGTGATCCTTCCTTTATCATGATTACCTCTTTAATGTGAGTCTGAATGTGAGTCTGATGCCAACTTGACGACAGTATTTCTAGCCTGCAAGAAAATTGGCTTGGAAGTGGGCTGTAGTGTATGACTCAAGCACGCACTTTAAACAAGCAGCCACCATTCAATATACAGACGGAAACAATACTGGTAAGAAAACAGTGGACGATTTCAGTTTTCGTGCGCTCCAAACGCCCGCCCGTTTCGTGCGCCCAGTTCCCACCAAGTTTTTCGGCCCGAAAAACTTGGTGAGAACCGAGCTCCATAGCTTCCATATCTTATTGAACACTTTAGCATCGAAACACGAAAGCGAAATGCAATTCGGCCAACCTTGCTCTGCCCTTTACGAACGCCGGTTTCTGCCCGCGTGGGTGGCCCTGTCCGCTACGTGTCATTTGAGGATATTTTCACCAATTCTTATTGGTAACAATGCAGTTCGGCGACTTGAAAACTACCGCTGCTCTCGAGAAACTCAATGGCTACCTTGCCGACAAAAGCTACATCGTAGGGTGGGTATACGTTTCGCTGTCCTCCTCTGTGCGCCGTTTTTGACTACCGGTCATGGCAGCTGCTCGCTTTTACGTCCTTTTTACTCACTGTTTATTAACCGCCCGCTTGTGGGTAAATGTTTGCTTCTAGCGGAAACAAATAATCTCTTATTCACCACATGCTTTCGGTTGAGAATGGAACTATTGCAGATGCTGGCGCAGTAATATGCTTGTTAAACTGTTAAAGACATTAGAGGGTAAAAGTTGATCCAGACCAATAATATAGGCAGTTATTGCCATTGTGTGTGAATCTCCAGTCTTACATGTTGCTAGATGTTCATATGTTGGCAGTGTACTGAGAGATGTGCCTTTGTGCATTTTAGGTCAGCCCAAGTTTTGCTAGATTCTTACATGTTTTCTCCAAGGGATATGCTGGGTGATGTTTCCCCAAAAAATCCTTCTTGATATCAGTAACCTTTGAAATATTGGTGCTATTTATGCTGAAGTTAGTGCTAACCATGCACCAAGCTTTAAGCATGTAGGTTTAGTGTGTGTCCTCTAAAATCAGTGCAGTGATTCTTCTACTGTGCCAGTCATGCTCAGTGCAATATGTATTTCTTTGCAGCTTATGTCCAACTGGTTACTATTTGTTTGGTATCAAATTAACTCCCCCATGATCTCAATAGCTAAAGTCACTATGATATAAATTAAAATGATGTATAGTGGTTAGTCTGTTATGGAAGCACTTTATTACTCTTATTGCGTATAACTTAATGTATTGTTTAATATTAACAGATTGTTTATTTTTAGATGTCATATTTAAATAATGTGTGTGTCAACTAAGTAACTTCCTCCTTAACCTTTAGTCTGCTTCCAGATTGGGGGTTATGTTGCTTGCAGCAGCATACAGCATCCATGGTCATGAAGCACTGTGCTGATGCCCATTTATGTTGTGGTTTAAGCTGTGTATGTACCGTCGTGCCACTGGATCCCCTTAAGTATAGGTTGCTGCCTATAGGCTATTAATTTGGATTGTGCTGGATGAGGATCAGCTGGGTTGGATTCTATTAGTCTCCCACTTCAAAAGGTTTGGGCCAGGTTGGGCAGGCCATTACATTAAGTTTATTTTTATTTCTCAGGATTTTGATGTTGGAGCTACATGGGAGCTGTGCCATTTTATGTGAAAATGGTGAAAAGATGTCAGTGTATGTGAGAAATGGCTTAGTCACTGAAACTGGCAGGCAGATGACTGGACAATTACACTTTTCTTAGGCTTGATGGCTGCATGTCCAGTGGATTGATGGGATTTGAATGACATGCTGATGTCATTGCATCCTCATCATTGCCCTGGGTGACCTTGGAATAGCTAAATAGAAAAGTCTGAATGTCTGCAGGCATATAGCTCAGTAACTAAAGGGGTTTAGGTCTTTAGAGGGACAGGACTGTAAACTGCACTCAGTGATCTTCAAGATGACTATTTCAATTCAAAACCCCATACAAATGTGGAGTACTCCCTTTTTGCATTGATGTGCTTTGCATGATCCTTCTTGCCTTGAATCTCTTTTCCTCAGCATGGCTGCTGTCACTGACTGTGGGCTATCTCAGGGATGATTAAAAGTGAGCTTAAACCCAGAGGCAAAACACAACTGAAACTCACTCTTGTCAGCTGAGTTAATCAGGCATTTACTAGAGCTGTCACATGCTCTGAGCTACCGATCTATTGGGAGTCACACAGTAACCTGAGCCACATGACAAGCTGATGGTGGTCATTCAGGCTGCAGGATGTTTCAGCCTGTGCTGACTGTATTCAGGTGCACACATCCACTCCTGCTGTTGGTTGCTCCCCCAGGTACAGCCCATCGCAGGAGGACACCGCCGCGTTCGAGGCCATGAAGGGCGCGCCGCCGGCCGGCCTGCCGCATCTGCTGCGCTGGTACACCCAGATCAGCTCTTACGGCAGTGAGCGCTCCAAGTTCCCGGGCAGCGCTTCCGGTGCCGCGCCGGCCGCTGCGGCCGACGACGACGACGACGACGTGGACCTGTTCGGCTCGGATGATGAGGATGAGGCGGAGAAGGAGCGCATCAAGGCGGAGCGCGTGTCCGCCTACAACGCCAAGAAGGCCAAGAAGACGGCCATCATCGCCAAGTCCTCTGTGCTGCTAGATGTGAAGCCATGGGATGACGAAACCGACATGAAAGCCATGGAGGCGGAGGTCCGCAAGATCAGCATGGACGGCCTTGTCTGGGGAGCCGGTATGTGACCTGTAGAGAGATCCTCGCGGTCGTCTGCGCCGGGTGTGCGTATGTGTTTAGTGAAGTAGTGCACCCTCCCCGAGACGCCCTTTTTTCGACAAGCACTGGGTTAGGAACACTAGCATAAATGGAACCGCATTTCGATTTACAGATGCGAGCTCACCCAACACAGGCCTGGTTATATATTAAGACGTGCAGGGTACACATTCGAATGAGTATTATATGCTAAATCTCCAGCGAGGAGGGCATTACACCGGTTCCGTGGAAGCTTTCTCCTTTAGCCGTACACGTTTTTTTTTGCGTTGGAGCAACTTAAGTATTCGTGTGTAACATTCCTTGAAGATGCTCATATGGTAGACAGTGTCAAATTTCCTGTGTTACAGGCAAACTGGTTCCACTGGCCTTCGGCATCAAGAAGCTCACCATCATGTGCACCGTTGAGGACGACAAGGTGTCAATCGAGGAGCTCACCGAGAAGATCGAGGAGAACGAAGAGTTCGTCCAGTCCGTCGATATCGCTGCCTTCAACAAGATCTAACCAGTGACGGCTCGTCCCGATGGCCGCTTTCCAAAAGTCATCCGCTGTTTATTGTTTTGAAATATAAACGCATTTTACAGCGTGTGTTGTGTTTGACCCGTGCGCCGTTGCAATTTATATTTAGTCGTCTTCGAAAAGGATAGTGTTGCGACATTGGTGTGTAGAGCTGCAGGGCATGGCCAAATCGACTAGCGGAGGGGGATGACTCCTCACGAAGATGATGGCGATTTAGGTTTCGGGGCCTTGCCGGCGACCGCGGGAAACTAGGGTAGAACGTCTATCCTCACCACTTGCGTAGCAGCTCGCTTTCTCGTCGGCAGCCGGCTGACTAGATGCGGATGCTGGGAAATTGAATCATCTGAAAGCGTCGTTGCATAACCGAATAGCAACTAATTTTCGCCAGCGAACTCTTCCGGTCAGAGGTTTGCGTTCGTTTTGGTCAGGGGTTTGCGCGTTTGGGTTTGTTCATTTTCGCGCTGCGATTCCGAGAACGAAAGTAAGTTACAACTTCGTGGCTCATTGATGTTACTTAACAGATGAGCGAACGCCCTTGGACGTGTGGTGGCATTCGCATTCAGTTCGGAGCGTCGTTACGCCACCAAGCGAGGGGAGCACTGCCTCGGACGCAGCCAGACCTTATCCATGGTCACCTGATAATCAGCGATGGTTTGTCGCTTTAGAGTGACACTTGTCATTCGGGGGTCTCACGACGATCGACCCCAAAAGCTTGAACCTACATGGAGTCTGGGAATGGGTGCAACATAAAACGTAGCCCATCGCCATTCAGTTTGACCATCAACCAAAAGTCGCCGAATTCTCCACTGCCGCCTTTTTCACCGCATGATACCGGACAATGGAGGGTTTTCTTTCGTGGTGATCTGACAGTGCGGACTTCCAAAGTGTGGAAGCGACCTCCGGCACGCCACGCGTTTTTCGGCCTTAATACGCGCCCAAGGGGGGGGGGGGGGGGTTCAAATTGACACCGCGGAAGGTTTTTCAAGGATGATTTCCGAACGGTCCGGTGCAGCCACGCCAAACTTTGCATGGCTGTAGAGTTGAAATCGGATCGCTTGATGTACGTAATCAGATGTGGCGTGGAAGGTCGCTGACCTCTCGCCGCCAAGTCAGGCCATTGCTGTCAGCAAAGGAAATTTCTAGGGAGTCGTTCAACGTGACGCGAGAACGGGGTGTTAGACGAAGCCATACTTATCTGGGATCTTGGGCAATGCAGAAATTGGATTTAGAATGATAACCAATTTCATTGACATAGGGTCAAATATGCAGGTCGGACTGAGGTCAAAAACTAATCTGCTTTTTACTCAAGAACTTGGTTTTACGAGGTAGTTTATGGAGCTCATTTCGACTTCGTGGTGATTTGGTTTTTAAGGGCGCGTCGGCATCAGGGCCATTTTGCACCCACTCGATGACGGTTATCTACATCTGCGACGACGCGATAAGTATGTCGTCAACCTAACAACAGGTAGTATCACTGGCACACTTACACTGAGGGGTGAGTGAAAACAAGGTCAAAGTCAATGTGTGCTAAAAATGCGAGTATATCTCCAAGTTCACCACATGGGTCTCGACCGAGTAACCGATGAAGGGGCGCCGGAGGGAAAAATCGTCGCCTCTCCGTCTCAAGGCGCCGGCATGTGACGAGGACATGTTCTACGGACAACCGGTCCCCACATCTATCACACCGTGGCACATCCCTACGCGTCAAGTAAAACGAGTGTGTTACATATGTATGACCCAACCGAAGCCTACAAAGGGCGACTTCCTGGAAGCGGCTTCGGCGATGGGAGGATTCCCAATCACCCAGTTGGGGCTTGGTTTCCCTGAAAGCGTGAAGATGTTGGTCGAACATGTGTTGCCACTGTGAACATGTATTGCGGACGTATTTGGAAATGACTGACCTCAGATCTCGAGCGGGTACATAAATTGGTATTGGGTTTCTCTCACACGCCGCAGCGAAAGCTGCGGCGTCGGCTTTTTCATTTCCCATTATTCCTATGTTGCTGGGGATCCACATAAATGTGATACGGCAGGAAGTGTTGTCCAGCCATTCCAGTTCCTCCCAGATTGAGCGCGTCAAAAATGAGTGGTCACGCGATATCGCCGTCGGGTCTAATGATAAAAGTGCACTACGCGAGTCGGTCAAAATGACTACGTCCCTTTCAGGACGACAAGCAACGTACTGAAGCGCTGCTAAAATAGCTAACAGTTCTGAGGAAAAAACTGACAGGTGCTGCGGGATGCATAGACATACGGTATGGTCACCGCAAACAAATGCGCAACCCGTTCCTGTTGAGCCCTTGGACCCATCGGTAAATCTTTGTAATGAGTTCGCGTATTGTGAGATCTGTTCCAGCGAATACGTGAGGAACTCTCGTGGTGAAGTGCCATTTTTAAGATGCTGACAAAGTTCCAAATCATACTTAAGACTCAGACGTCTCCACGGAGCTGGGTCCCGAAGAGTGTGCGGGGCAACGTCATCCAGCGTAATATCTGCCTCGTCCAACCAGTCCCGGACGCGCAGGCACATCGGCCGCGCTGACATGGGCCGCCCCGTCAAGAAAGAACGGATTAACGTCTGAGAGAAGATGAAATTAAAGGCAGGGTGATCCGGAAATTGTGAAACCTTTGTAGCGTAATTCAAAGTAAGTCGTTGTCTCCAAGAGGCAAAGGCGGTTCATCCGCTTCCACGCAAGTTTCTTGTTCAGGTCGTACGAAACGCCCCAGTGGCTACACGAACAGATGCATGGTGGATTGTGTCCAAAACCTGCTTTGAAGATGAAGGAGCACTATCGTAGACAGGGCTAGCATAATCGATGACTGATAGAATTAGGGCCCTATACAAGTTCAACAGAGTGCTTCTATCGGCTCCAAAGGTCACACGACACATTACTTTCATGAGGTTCATGCGCTTGAGACACTTAGTCTTAACCATCTTTAAAAGTTGCTTAAACGTGAGCCGACGGTCAAACGTGAGGCCCAGGGAACAAATGTTGTTACAAACTGAGATAGCGGCATTATACAGTCGCAACTCCGGGTCTCTACAGCCTCTAGTCCGTGAGCAGAAGTGCATACACTTTGTCTTGATGGTCGAAATTCTGAAGCCATTCTTTAGGCTCCACTCAGTTAGTCGAATGAGGCACAGCTGAAGCTGCCTTTCAGCAGACGCCGTTGTGGATGCTGCACGCCAGATGGCAAAGTCGTCCACAAACAGTGACCGACTAATGGTAGGTGGCAGACAGTCGGCAATATCATCGATCATCAGCGCAAACAGGGCTACGCTAAGGACGCTCCCTTAAGGAACACCATTCTCTTGTTCATAGCGATCAGATAGCATGCCACCCACTCGGACGCGGAAGAATCGACGACGTAAAAAGTTTTCAATGAAGAGTGCCATGTGACCTCGGAGTCCACACTTGTGTACTTTGCTTAGAATGCCATAGCGCCAGGTGGTATCATAAGCTCGCTCAATGTCAAAGAAGACTGCTATCGTCTGACGTCTTTGTTTAAAAGACTGTCGTATAGCTGTGTCTAAGATCGTTAAGTGGTCAACAGTGCATCGGTTCTTCCGAAACCCGCATTGCACTTTGGAAAGACAGCCGTGAGTTTCAAGGTACCACATGAGACGATCATTCATCACCCTCTCTAGCACTTTGCATAGGGATGAAGTCAGCAAAATTGGGCGGTAGTGCAGTGGGTCGGAACCATTCTTTCCGGGCTTCTGTATCGGGACTATAATGGCCTCCCGCCACGACTCCGGGAAGTCATCTTGCAACCATATGTAGTTGAAAAGTGAGAGTAAGGCATGGAGGGACTCCTTCTTCAGGTGATTCAGCATATCATTGTGGACTTTATCCAATCCAGGCGACACACTCTTAGCTCTCTTAAGAGCAGTGCAGAGCTCCATGACAGTGAGTGGTTGGTTGTACTCATAAATCTCCGAGTCAGGAATTCTAAAATTGATTGCCGTCTTCTCACTTTGCTCCTTGTAACGAATAAAGCGTGGGTCGTCTGTTCCATGTCGGCACCTTTCCGCAAATACGAGACCTATTTTGTTGGAAACTTTCTGTGTTTAATATCATGATTCCCGCCACTTTCGACACCGGAACTGCAGTGGAGACGCTCCTACCGGGAATGCGACTAACTCGCTTCCACACTGCACTCAGTGGGGTGTGACGATTTAAACCATTTACATATTCCCTCCATGATGTACGCTTTGCCTCGCGTATTGTGCGTTTCGCAAATGCTCTGGCCTTTTTAAAAGCGATGAGGTCGTTGGTCGTTGCAGAACGCTTAAAAACCCTGAACGCCCGCTTCCGGTTAAGAATTGCCGCCTTGCAGTCCTCTGACCACCAGGGAACAGGGATCCTGCGCGGCTCAGGTGATGTCAAGGGAATGCAAGACCTTGCAGTGTCAACAATTGTGGATGTCACTTGTTGTGCAAGAGACGTTGCATTGTCGTCCTCGGTCGGCTGCACTCTAATATGGCACTCTTCAGTAAACCTTTGCCAGTTAGCACGTCGAAAGTCCCAGCAGGAAGGCATCCTGCCTGGGTGTCCAGCATTCATCCCAAGCCATGTTGGGAAATGGTCGCTCCCACATGTAGTGCTCTCAACGAACCAAGACAACCGACAGAAAAGGGACGAGGAGCAGATAGAAAGATCTTTCGCTGAAGTAGTGCTGGACGGCAGAGATATATGGGTATGCCGGCCGGTGTTAACAACACAAAGATTATTTGTATTCAGCAAACGCTCAAGATGTCGATCTCGGCGGCTTGCGTGACTGCAGCCCCACGAAGGGCTATGGGAGTTGAAGTCACCTAACAACAAGAACGGCGATGGAAGCTGATCGAAGATGGACTGTAGTGTCGAATCCGGTACTTCCTCAGCAGGAGGGAGGTAGATAGAACAGACAGTCAGTCTCAGCGACCCAAGGTCGACGACGACAGCAACAGCTTGAAGGTCAGTGTTAAGACTTACAGGAGAACACGATATACTGTGATGAACTAAAACCGCCACCCCACCATGGGCGATCGTGTCAGTTCTCACGTCTTTCCGAAAGATGCTGTAACATTTGATGTTAATGTGAGTGTCATCAGATACCTTTGTTTCTTGTAAGCATGCCACAACCGGGATACGATGAGATAAGAGTGTGTGTAGGTCCGACATGTTGGCCCTCAAGCCACGCATGTTCCATTGTAAAAACGTCAGTGGCATGCTAGGTATACTTGTATGTGGGGTGTACGGTTGAGATCCATCGGTACAGCTTACATCTGCTTTAAGCGTTCACCTAGGATTTTGCACTAAACAAATCTCCCTGGCGACGCTCTACTTCAGTGGAGGTAAGCCGGCCCTTGGCCGAGTTTTGGGACTCCCACCCTCCTCAGAGTGTCGGCCAAGGAGGGGCACGCTTTGTTGCACGACCCGCCACCGGGGACTGCAGGGTAGGCCGACCCGAAACCCCGTCTCCAGGTGGAGGGATGGGAGGCGGACCCATTGACCCTCCCGGTGAGTGGGGCGGAGTCGACAGCGGGAGCCGGCCCCCCGCCCGCTGTGCAGACGCCGACCTGACGGCGCGCCTTGCAGGGCCAAGGTCCAGAGAACCCGGTTTCAACAGTTTCAGAAGGGCGGCTTCGGGGGGGAGCGACGACTGGGGGATGCCGAACCTTGTCCGGTTCCCGTGAGCCGGGGGGACCGGCGCTTCCGGCAGGGCCACTAGCTGGGGAGCCAGAAGGGGTCAGCTCTCGTAGCGCCCCTGTGCCAGCGACGACAGATCCCGTCGTAGCTGGTATGGATGGAGGGGGAGATGGAGCACGGGAGGGCGTGTCTTCAGCACGGGCTGGGCCGGGTGCGATGATGGGGGGGGGGGGGGGGGGGGGCGAAGTCCACAACCTCGCTGGACCGTGGTCCATCCCTTGTTCCCGGGTCGCAACCCAGCCCCGGGCTCTCTGGCAGCTCCACCAGGGGGTTCCAGCCCCATAGGCTGAGCTCCTCTAGCGCGGCCAATGCCGCAGGTGCATTATTTTCCGGAGGATCCGACTTCCGGTACGACGTAGCAGCAGAGCCATTTGATACAAGTGTGCTTAGTATCAGCTGTGCAAACTCACCTACAGTCATGCCTTTGAAATCATCGAGTCCACCTCAGTTTCAAGTACCTCCTTGGCTGCGGGTGTTACTTGGGCTAAATTTCTTGCCGGATTGGTAAGGGCGTCTTCGTATGTCCCTTGTGGTGGTAGCATCGTTGTGTCGGCGTTGGGCCTCCCGAAACGAGACTCCTTCCTTCACTTTGATGTTCAGGACAGCTTTCGCCGACAAGGACTGACAGCTGCGATATGACGCCACGTGACCCTGACCACAGTTGACGCATTTCACGGTTTCTGATTTACACTCAGAGTGTTGGTGACCTATTTCCTGCACACCTTCCGCATCTAACTTCTTTCCAGCACTTGTCCGTGAAGTGACCATACGTCTGGCATCGGTAGCATCGGACTGGATCGGGTACACAGACCCTAACAGGAACCGACTGATATCCCACGCGGACCCATATCTGGCACTCCCGCAGAGCAAAACGTCAGAATAATTGAATCAGTATCGGTCCAGCTCTCCTCTCTCTCTCCTCTTGATAAGTCTCACTGCCGTCACCCCTTCCTCACACAAACCCTCAGCAACATCCTCATCACTCACACCGCGAATGCCCCGGCAAGTAATGACACCCTTGGAGTAGTTCTTAGAGGGGTGAGGGTGCACCGATACGGGCACCCTAACCTCTCCCTGTCCTCGTACTTTGCAGGTAAGTGTGGTCATTTTAAGCATGCGCTGGATCTCGCGTTCGTCTGTTAGATGCACTTCTATGCCTCCGTCCGCATACGAAAAGACATCCTTGGGCGTCCCGATCTTTGAAAATGCTTGTTGGCGCTGAAATGGGTTTAGTCGGAGCGGCACTGTCCTTCCTTGGTCATCTACTTTGGCGGATCTTACGACCAGAAACTGGGGTAGTGGCACAGGGCGACACTCGGGGTTTGGGGGGTTGGTTGATGATAAAGCGTCCATAGGTGTGTGTTTATATTCGGCGCGCTGATTCCCCGCCCACCACGGAGCCCAACACGGGGACGGTCCACTTCTAACAGAGGAGCCGCCAGGGCTACCAGCACGCTATACGCAGACCAGTGTGCCAAAAGAGTTGCTGCGAGAGCCACCGGGCACGAGTCTGCGGGCGCCAGTGCCTCGGTTCGCAAGGGCTAACCAGGCACCCTGGTAACAAACCGAGATACGGTCCCTTAATGATGTCAGGAGGCAGACACTGCACCCAGCAGCTCCCCCTCAACACCAGTCACATGACCTGCCTGCTTCCAAGCGTCACGAAACACGACGCCCGACCAGCCGGTTTCCTCGTGTGGAGACTTCACGAGGCATCCGCGGGATCACAAATTCGGGCCAAAGCCACGTGTTGGTAAGCTACCCCGACTGACCCGCAGCGCAACTCCCTCAGTGACCAGGATCCCTTCATCGCTACCTGCGGATCCAACGGGGTACGGCGAGACCCAGACAAGACTGAAAAGCTGGGGCCGAGGGGTTGCTAATCCCTACTCTGAACGAGTCACGTTTTGCGGGAGGCACGTTATGTCTGGCCCCTCCTCTTTGGCCGGAAGGGGCGCTTTACAAGCCTCCTCAATCACCCGCAGGATCATTGGGGCACGCAATCCCCCCCCCCACCACGGAAAGGTAGTGCCTCACGGGGGGGGGGGGGCTCATTTCGAATTCATTAACGACAGAGAACGCAACGGACATAACCCATGGACTTCTTAACCATCACAGTAGGTCATTGGCCCAAAATGATCCAGGTCAACATTTTTTTTTCAGGGGCATACTGCCAAGTGTAATCTGTGACGCTTACTTGTGTGGCAAGATAGGAGCAATCTCGCAAGTATTCGGTCATCTTTCTCTGATGGAGGTCAGTCAAGGTCAATGACCTCAGTGGCCCTTCGTATAGAATATGTAAATGGCTGCACGGCGGTTGCATGAGGCCTGGGGCACTGTAGAATTTGGCCTTATTTTACCCCAAGGTCATGACATAAGAAGCTCAAATTTTGTCATAACTGAGTTCACGCACACGCCAACTCACCATGTGAATTTGGTGTACCTAACTATCTATGTTTTCCAGATCTCGGGGGGGGGGGGGTTAACCTGACCCCCACCTGAGCGAAGGGCATTCAACCGGCCACCTGGGCGTGTGTTAATGGTGACTGTCCAGCAGACTGATCAGGCATCTTGTCCAATACAAACGCACACACGCACGTACGCACGCACGCACGCGCGCGCGCGCGCACACCCACACCCACACGTCCTTTTCTGCACACTTCCATCAGCATTTTCAGTGATCACAAAGTATAAGCAGAGCAAACAGCTTGTTGGTTATTTCAATATGGATGGCGGGTATGCCACCTTGTTAATATAATGTACATTTTTACTACACATGTATATATATATATATATATATATATATATATATATATATATATATCATATACCCGTAAACACTGGATAAGGCCCAGCGACCACTGACCCGCGAATTCGGAACATGGCTGGCGGATTTCATATTCTCATTTTCCTTTGCTTGGCCATCTCATTTTATTTTTATTTTTGCCTGCTGAAATATGGCCATTCGCCACCTAATCACACAATACGTTTCTCAAGAGCTTACAGAGAAATGCGGCCTGAAACGTCTGGCAGCGATTGCCAGAGCGTTTTTACCGTTTTCAAAGCGAGGACGTAGTGGTTCCATACCCACAACGCCCGAGAAGTCCACTAGACCTCACGCTAGGCCCACCATCCCGAGCCGGTTACCAGGTCACATTCTCTGTCCGTCTCGACAGCGAACTTGAAACCTTCCAGGTGTTTCTTGTAATGTCCGAGGCAACTTTATCTGCGACGATCCACGGAGCATATTAAACGGGACAACACATCAAACATATTTGGTGCTTCTTACAGGCTAAGACACTTTTGACGCGAAGGCTGGCGACCTTTTCACTGTTTCGTCAAGCTTGGCTTTGAAGAGTTCACTGTTGATGGGCGCTGCTGGTTGGCAGGCTGGGTTCCTGATGACGTACTCAACGTACACCTGAAACGACGCAAGTAACTTAAACTTCAAACAGCTTATCAGTTTCGCCACCCTCTCATGCGCAACTTAACCACCCCACTGTCTGAACAACACTCGGTGAGTGATGGTGAGTCTGCTGAAGGGCTCGGGAGCCGTTCTGAAGGTTAAATCATCCCTACAGTGCTTCTCTGGCTTCTAGCTTATTGCCATTCCGCAGCATCCAGCCGTTGCAACACCATTCTCCGTTCACAATACAGACTCCCCATCCTTACAATGTGCAGCTATCATCAGTGGCGTTGCCTCGCGCGCGCTCCTATTATCGCTCCTGTTATGCTCCTGTTATGCTCACAAACAAAATATCCATTAATGCTACATTAAGTAAGCCAATGTTTGTCTCTGTCTGGTTTGAGTGAGCTTCCCGCAGACCGTTCCATCCTTGCATCATCTGAGTCACACCAAATTGTCCTGCTTTTTAGCATCCCATGCTTCTGACATACTACTACTTGACTCTAGTTGAACAGCAAACCTGACTCTGACCCACAATGCAGAGGGTTATTCCCATTCTGGTCTCACTTGACCTGCTAGTTGAAGCTGATTCCACACCTGTCCCCCACCACCAAAATATCAGTGGATCTGACTGACTTCAGCAAACTTGACAAAATTTCAGAGCTGACTCTAGGTCTGAGACAGCTGACTCATTCATTTTCTCCATTGTCTGAACACATTTTCCCCACACTGTGATGCATCAACAAAATCCCCACAAATATGGTCCTCCTGACCACAAAGCACTATGTGATAGCTACCACCAAGGCCAACATGGTCCTCTGGGTATGGGTCCAGCCCAACATCTCCATGGCAAAAACATGTCAACTGCTCACTAATGAGGTGGAGCCATCTTCAATTTTACAGATCCCTTTTGATTTCATGAGGCTGGTTCCTCCCTCCCAGTAATACATGGGCCTGATGGTGACCCCCAACAGTGACATCACCAGCAGGCCATCTGAAGGCACTCCCCTCCCCCTAGCACCATTATTAAGTCCACTAAGATGATCATAGGTTCAAACCAACCAAGAGCAGACACATTCAGGGTCACACTCACACTGCCTGACTTTATTGCATGTGGAGATGCCAAACCCTGATCAACCTATTTTACTTCCCAATCACTGACTATTCAATTTCACGCCACTTGCCAAGTATGCCCTATTATATAAATAGCACTGTTTGGTGCCATCACTACACTGCCCTGAACATGGGCACATATGTTTCCAGGGTTAGTTCAAAATAAAGTGTGATATCTTATATCTGAGCATAATGCACTATTTCATATGACATTTCTGAAGATACAATGAGTCTAGGAGTAGCTTCTGGAAAAATACTCAACAGCTTTCTTACCTGACTGTAAAGCTTTTGCAGCAGTTCATGCACACCAGGAGCATTGCAATCAGTGTTGCAAACAAATTTCAGTGAGGTAGGTGTCTCATAGAGTGTCATCTTATACTTGTTGGTCATGAAAGATTGGACTCCATCTTGGACATCTAGTGGTGATATGCGGTTGGAGAATGATTTCAGGGAGAAGAGCATCCCATATAACAGGCGTGCCTCCTGAAAACAGTGATGAGCTGATCATTTCATGAACTGAATGATCTGCAATTAAAACATAACACTATCAATGCACAATGCCATTGTATACCAGTCAGCTTGATTTTTTAGAGTGCATCATGCCTATCCACTCATTATCAAGTTGCAATCCTAGAAACCCTAGTAAGTTACATTTGGTTCCAAATCCCCTTCAATGCATGCATATACCTACAAGACTCTTTGGGCGCTGCATGACCTTCAGCAGTCGATGCGCCCTAAAACCCCAAATCATCATCATCATCATACAAGACTCACTATCATGATCAGCAGCCACAACAACAGTGCATGCTTTAAGTGAAGTCAGACCTAAAACTATATCAGGAATTCCATGGGGCGTAGTATGAAAAGTAATAAACTCACCTCATCGAGGGACATCGTCATAGGTTTTTTCCTTGACCACTCCTGATAATAAATAAGGACACCATCACGGTTGTAAATGTACAAATTAAACACGGTCATAACACTGAGGAAAAGCCGCCTTGAAAGTACGCTACTTTGTGTGCCAACAGACTCAGCCGCTACTGACTTACAGCACACCACCGGACCGCGGCCCCGAACCCGCGACAGATCCTGTGTTAGTCAAGAGCCGTAAACAAAATGTAGAACAGTGCTGAAGAAGTTTGACGAATAAACGAACCTTATTTGTGTCAGGCCCTATGAGAATATGCAGGGGAGACACCGTGTTTTAAGGATCTTCAATTTTTGATACCTTGAAATAATATTATTTTTGCCTTTTGCAAGGTACAGCGGAAATCGCTACTTAACATAGTTATGATAAAAATTAAAGTTACACCTAAAGTCAAATGAATCGTATATTCGATACATTTGCTGCGCTCTCGTTTCTTTTGGAGCCGCTGTCTATCCAATAGCGTTCAGTGGTTCACATGAACGGGATGAATGTTTCCCGGCAGCCACTGGCGGGTCGTGCGGAGTATAGCCTGATAGTAAGTTGAGTATTTATCATAAGAAAGAACACATTTCATCATAAGATGAGGTTTTCGTACCTTTTTCATATTCTCAAAGTGCTACAGCACTTAAGTATGATATGCAGACAAACATTATTGATGATTCCTGCCAGACATTGACTGTATAATGTTACCCTTGGCCCTGACAACTTTGAAACCCTATTGCTGCGCTGTTAATGTTGGTGCCATGCTGAAAAACATGGTGATATCTCAGATACCAGCAGTACATTATTAGACAGAGACAGACTTTGCAAAAGAGAGGTGGGAGGTAGGCCATGGCATATAGCCTTAGTAGCTGAGTGCATTCTAAAATCCTTATGTTGACAGCAACAAGAGTATGGTAATAATGAGCATCACATATCTTTATTATAAATGAGTTATAAGTCAATTGCAGTGCTGCTGATTTTAGTATTAGTTAATTACACAAGCAGTTTGAAATAGGACAGGTTTGTTGCATTTGATGGCTCAATGTCAGACAGTGTGCTATGCCATGCTTTTGCTTTCAAGGCCACATGCACAATGAAACTCATCCAAATTATGGCATTCCTTAAGACTTTCTTAGGCTTGGGTCTCATTCCAAAGTTAAGTTATAATGCCCAGCCTAGAGATTTATGCACCATGAGCATCTTCTCTCCATTGTCAATGCTTGGGCACTAAGGACTGATTATCTGAGATATGCTGGCATCACCTCCTTTGTTTCCATCAGAGTCATGTCAGATGACAACTGCTATGGACCAACCCTGCCACCATCAATGCGGAAGGCCTGTGATGTGGCTGAGCCCCGGGTAGGGCGTGCCAGCTCCGAGGAAGCCTCTGATGATGATTGCTATGGTCCCATCCTGCCGCCATCAATGAGGGCTCGACGCCAGTCAGACCCTCCTCCTATCGGCCCCAGCCGGCCGGACCCGGGCGGGTCGGTCGCGGCAGACCGGCCTCCCATCGGCCCCAGCCGGCCGGACCCGGGCGGGTCGGCGGCTGCGGACCGGCCTACCCGCTCTGACCCAGACAGCTCGAGCGACGAGGATGCCTACGGGCCGGCGCTGCCACCCGGATTCGTGCGGCGCGCGCCGGCAGGTCCTGCGGTCAAGGGTCCGGCGCTGCCACCCGGAGGACTGCCGCCGCCCGCCGAGGACGAAGAGGACGAGGATGACATCATCGGGCCGCTGCCTCCAGCGGCCAGCGCGGATCTCGGCCAGTACGCGGCCGACGAAGTGGAGCGACGCGCCAGCAGCATGAAGGACAAGCTGGACGCTCTGGTAAGCTGGCAATGTGGGCTCCAGGTTGGTGTTCAATTGGCAACATGCTGCAGTATGTATGCCACCTTCACAGGCAGACTCATGTTTAATGACATGGTTATGGTGTCATGTTTGAGTATATCTTGGGGCGCACAGCCTTCCCAGGGTCCCGTGTTTGTAGCAGGGATATTTCGGATCTTAACGCAGTATCAAGGTGTAGCCTAGATTCAATTCATGGTTCTTTGCTTTCACGTTTGAAGGTATTAAAACAAGCATCAGAGATGATGAAATAAGCTCACTTATAACTATTGGTACACTTTTAAGGAAGAAAGACTGCTCCAGCCACCACAATTTCTCTGTTGAGCAAATATGCTCCTCGATGCGTCATTGTTTGATTGCGTCATCTTGCCTTGCACAACATTGGATGAGAGCCAATTGAAGGCCATTATATCTGGAAACCATGCTCGCGAATGCCGGATAAGAAAAAAAAAACTCGAGCATGATATTTTTCTCGGCCTTAGTCGTCACCTGAAATATGAAATGGCAGTGTTTGAACGACGTTATGATGACGTGATGAATGCCAAGGACACCTTGGAATACCCTTCCCAGAATACTCTCCTTATTTTCGCGGCCGTATAGCTCAGGAAGTAGAGGGGCTTAGGTTTTTGGAAGGGCAGGGCTGTGAAATGCATTGAAAGGTCTTCAGGAGAGCTGGTTCAGTTCAAACCCCTATATAAATGTGGAACATGCCCTTTAACTGGGAGGACATGATCGAAACTGTTAGAAGAAAGGCAAGGCTTATATAGCTGTTTTACAATGAATGTGGGTTGATCTTATCCATGCAGTTCTACGTCTAAGGGCAAAACCGAATTCTTAAGGTGCTCATGCTGCGAATCTGTTTAACTCTCGTACGAATACGGATGTTACACAGGGGACATGTGGACTGTTAAGATGCCGCCTCGACGCCGCAGTGATGTCTGTGGGTGTCTGTGGTGATCTTCGTCTGGGGGATATCAACCAGGCATCTGCCGTGAGAAAGCAGTCGTGTTCCAGGGCCGACTGACGGAGCTGGTGCCGTGCTTGTGCGGGCCGTGTCTGCCCTTTGTTCGCTGTGTGACGACCGTGGTCTTCGGCCCGTGGACCATCCAACCGGTGTCCTCTGTGTGAAGCCTGTGACCTCCGGCCGCAGGGTCGGCCGGTGGAGCTGGTACGCGAAGAGTGGATGCTGGAGCTGCCGCCGGAGCGCGCCGGCGAGTTCGGCCTCGGCCCGCGCCAGTTTCGCCGCAGTGCCGCGCCGGAGCGGGGCGACACCAGCGCCTGGACTGAGGTGGCCTCCGACCAGAAACCGCGCCCTGCCGCCACCAGCAAGGTCTGGAGAACGGAAACTGGTGCACGGCCAGCGCAGCTGAGACTGCTGGACATGCTGATGGGGTTTAACGTGTACGATCCAGGCTTTGGCAGCGAACTGAAGGGGTCCCTGAAGGCGTCCCTGTTTGAATGGTATCTGAGCTGCTGTACGATTTGTTTTTTGGCCTGCATTAGCATAGAATAAGCAGCAACTAACTTGTAATGCAACTGTAATGTGTAAGATGTTGTCATTTGGAACTCACACGCTAAACCGATCCTGATCGCGGGCTCCCGCTGTTGGCTGGCAACGACATGCACTTAAAACACATGTCCAAATCCGATTGCACGGGAACTTGCACCGCGTTTCTCGTTTTTCCTTTTTTGCTATCCCTATCTGCTTGGCTTGTAATGCAACCTTCCTTACTTGTGATGGTTCACGTAATACTTCAAGGCTCTGCAGGCAGATGAGATTGTCTAGTCCAACCGTTTAGCGAACTTATTCGCGCTGAGCCTGCTGAGCTGAGCTGAGTTGAGTCTGCACTCGTGATCAGCAGAGTAGGACGGCGGCGGCGGTGCAGGGATGACCCCGGTCTACCTCTCTGACCCTGCGCCCCACCCGCCAGCAGAAAAGGGCGGAGGCTGTGGTGGACCTGGCCACAAGACGGCGGGATGAGCGCATGGCCGAGGTGGCCGAGTCTCTGCAGGCCAGCAGGAAGGACTCGCTGCTCGACCTTCACCAGAAGAAGGTCAAGCAGGGAAAGGTGAGTTTCCTGTGCATTCACTTACGAGTAGGAGCTGCATATTAGTTGCATGCGAATAATTATTCGTGAAATATTATGTAGGTTTGCGCCAAAAAATACACCTTTATTTCGACACATTTCTCTGCATGCAGTACGTGTGCTGTGTGCTTGCATATTTTATACTTTGTTGCCAGCAGCATAAACACTTTGAGTAACATCTTTGCTGTGGAAGCAAATAAAAGCGCAGTTAACGTTCGCTGTCGGCGCTTTAATGGATACTTGTCAAAACATTCACACGCCATTTGGCTTTTGGTCACTGACTCAATTCTTAGTCATTCTCATTTTCTTGATATGTCAACTTCTTACCTGCTGCTGCTGGTTACTGCCATTCAGCCATTCAACTATTGACTTAGTCACAATAATATATTATTTTTCACAACCCAGTATTTCCTATGCTCAGATCCTCGAAAGGCTCCCCATCTTCATCACACCACGCTGCTCCAGCAGCGCGAGCCCCGAATGCTGTGCCGATACTATTTACCTGCGCCTCGGCTGTGGTTTGCAGCCTGATCCAAACTGGTGACGGTCCCCTCCGACGCCTGGGACTCGGTTTGGCTCCCCCGCGTGGGCGCGTGGATTTCGCCCTCCGCTCCCACATGGGGGCCCCGGGTTCTAACCCCGGATGCGTCGTTACCTCACAGCGCTAATGTGGCCTCTGCAGGCGCTGGTGTCCTCAAAGGGGCACGTAACGCCCTTTGTCACGTCCCCTTTTTAAGAACGAGACCTCCACGCCTGCTGTTCAACATGCCCCTTCCCCTCCCCCCCCCCCCGCCAGCTTGTCGCGCGGTCTGACCCTCCCCACCCCGCCTGCGCCACGCAGAAGGAGGCGGGAGACACTTCGAAGCGGCGCCAAGAGTTCGACCGGGACCGCGACCTCGGCACCAACCGTTTCGACGAGTCGCAGCGCGCCGCCGCCATCAAGCGCTCGCGCGGCGCCGCCGATATGTTCGGCGCTGGCGCGCAGAAGTTCCTGTAACGCCGGCGGCGGCCCTGATCTTCTTGGGCGGCGCGTCCTCGACACGGGGATTGGTTGGCGCCAGCTGCGCCGCGCGCCGAACCGAGCCCGGCCTGCCGAGTTTGCTGTGGTGGCTCTGTTTGCATAATGCCGTGCTGGGCGATGTGTACCGTGCCAAGCGCCCTCTTCCATGCAAGATGTCCTGACGCATCAAAGGGGTGTTGTAAGGACCGGCGCGGTATAAGTCGTGCCATGTATTGGATTGTTAAATGCATTCAGTGCCTCAACACATGCTGTGCTGGTGCGGTGCAGTGGTCCTGAAGTATGCTGTGTTTCATCTAAGGCTGGTTTTGCCTTGGCGTTTGTGCGGAATGTTTGCAAGGTTTTTGCGCATCTGCCATCTGGCTCGGGCTGTGTTTCGACTAAATATTTTTCTCATTTTCATTATTCAAACATGGACTGCCTAACATTTAAGTGTTTGCTGCCATGTGTATCATTTCAGTGGATAATGGACGCTACGGCGCTAGCCCGCGTTATGCGTCATACGATGATGTTGGTAGGTTGCTACGAGTGAAGCATATCAAATGTATGTGATCATATTTTGTCTCGACAATATTACAATACACGTAGAATGCGACTGTGCGTCTGGTCTCTCTATGTTTGAATCCGTGGTGGAGTGGTCTCCGCTGGCTTACTTTTGCTCGATACGCCGGCTTACGTTGTTACGGTTCTGCGCCAAACAGTCAATTTGCTTTCGTCCGCCTTATTTGTTTCGATGCATGGTTATTCTGGTTCACGCTGACTCACGCCTCGCATTAGACCTAACCCACTTTCTAATGCAGGGGTCTCACTGAAGGTCAGCAAGGACCTGGCGGTCTCTCAGAGGGATCTAGACGCCTTAAGAACCTGTTTTTAATGCTTATTCCATACCATAACATCTCAATCTCTGAACAGAGGAATCCACAAAACACCGGGTTTTCGATTTCACCGGCCGAATTAGGGCGTTCATGAAATTATCGCTTTTCGCACGACAGGTCCCAAGTGTTATGAGGGCTGGTTGCATATAAATTATGGTCTCATTCAGCACTTCGAGTTACCTTGCCTTGAAATTGAATAATTTCTGTTCGACTGATGTGTAAACAAGTGACATCGATCCAGTCGTCGTTGAAATTATTTGGCAGCAGACAAGGGCAGTGAATTAGAATGGCTCAGCTGCATCCTCGGCGCGGAAACCACTTTTGTTTTTGATGTGGGCGTTTGTTGGGGTCGGGTCGCGGGCCGGAGAAAATGCAGAATTTTCCAGTTGATGATGGTAGTGCTACTAACCTTCTGCATAAACTTTGCACCAGGATAACTAGGAAAAAGGGAGGTAAGTTCTCATGACTTTTGTACCTCGGACAAGATTAAATGGGCCCCTCTTCCCAAAGGTGAAACAACTTGCATTTTAGTGCACCTGGGAATTGAGATGCTTATTTTGGGATTCCCTTCTATTTAAATGTAGTGCCAGGCGCTTGTTTGAAATTACATTGAAAAGAGTACGAGTTATTTGGAGAAAGTTTCCTGAGTGGGTTTAAAATTGGACTGCTTGTGTCGTCAAACTTCACATTATACCCATGAAACTATGTCCCGGGCTACAGAAAATATGTGCCTTGTACATGCCAGGTATAGCAGGGACATTCTGGAAACAAGTAAAATATGTGTATGTAATCACATTTGAGTGATCTGGTTTTGGTGCATTGTTACCACCAGCTCCAGCACACAGAGCCAATGTCTCAAGCCATGATGAAGTTGCCTAGCTAAATCCAAAAAAGGTACTCCCATATAATTGATGATTTATTTATTGAGTTGAATGATTTCCAAGTCAGGATGGTTTGGCCTGTCCTAAAGTTAGCACGCTGCCTCACACGCCAGGCTCAGCTCACTGATGTTCTGCAGGTGTTTAATGTAGGATTGTGGTAGGGTGGATGCATCTTTTGCAGGTGGGATCAGATCAACTGCCTGATATGTCTGTTTTGACTGAGGCCCACTGAATCCAACCCAGTACCTATCCAATATTGTTTCTAGTGAATAGTTTTGTTGAAACTGCAAGATAAACTGCAACAGATGTGTTACAGCAACAGTGAAACTGCAATATTGTGCTATCCAGCTGGCACGCTGCTGTGCACACAGATAAACACCCTGATCTGCAAACCATGGCAAAGACATGAATGATTTGGAGCAGCTTGAATACTTTCTCATTTGCAACAGCTTTTTACAGTGTAGACTCTACTTTATCACCAGATTTAACATGGCTGGGTGAGGGGTCAAATTGACCCCCCAAAGATTTTTCCGGAATGGCTTCGGAATAGCGTGGCTTAGCAGAACCCAATTTTGCATAGCTGTAGGCAATTGATTAGAAGATTGTTTGACTAAAAAAATTGGATGTACCTTGTAAGGTCGCTGACCTATGGCAAGTCAAAGCCAAGCCATGGTCTCAGCGAACGCGATTTCTAGGGAATTGTTCAATCTGATGCAATGACAGAGTGTTTGATGAAGCCATACATCTCTGAGATGCTTTCTTAGGCAATACAAATATTGAATAAGCAAATTACACTGACCTAAGGTCAGGTATGAAGGTCAAACCAAGGTCAAAACCAACCTGTTTTGTCACTTTAGGGCTCGCTGTATGGGACAGTTTCTGGTGCTCATTTTGAATTTATTGATAGCAGGAACCACATTATACATCTTCCATGGACTTGTTAGGTGTCAGAATACATTATTCACCCAAGACAACCCAGGTCAACATTTTGTTTTTAGGAGCATACTGCCTAGCGTAATCTTTGTCGCTTATTCAAATACAAAACTCAGCAGTCTTGTATGATTTTGGTCACCATGACCTTCAAAAGGTTAAGCAAGGTCACTAACCTTAAATGTGCTTGGGACCTATTACTTGGAAACAGTTGTCTAGGTTCTGGGGGCAATTTGGAGACCAACCTGGAATTTGTCCTTGTTGATATTAATTGACCTGAAGGTCATGACCTAGGAATCTCAAACTTTGACCTAAGTGAGTTCACATACAGGTCAACACACCCTGTGAATTTGATGTCTCTAGCTCTCTTTCCCGAGATCCCAGTGGGAATCAAATTGCCCCCCCCCCCCCCCCCCCCCCCACCCGAGCAAAGGGTGTCTAGCTGGCCACCCGGGCACGTGTTAAGATGCCCCAAGATAACAAGCTACTCCACAACAAAACATTTTAATTAAAATTTCTAAAAGCTGCTCTGAATGCAACAGTTATCAAGAACCTGTCCTGTCCTATTGTCAACCCACAATGGGGTGTTGAGTGACAGGTTAGTCCAGTGTTCATCTCTATAATCTTGAGTATATTGATGGTCTCAAAACAGATGACACACAGCGAGAATGTTCTAGTCACTCACAGTGCTATCTTCAAAGTGATCCATGCACATTTCCACAGACCCAAGCATGAAGCAGCATTCATTGGTATGCTCAAATTGGTTTTTCAGATGAAGTGCTTCCATTCTTCTACCGGACAATCCAGCAATTGTCTGGTGCTGATGGCATGGCAAAGAAGGAATACAACATGTTCATCATTGGGGAGCAGATCAAGAAGTTGCTGGCCAAGAATGGCAGAGAGCGTGATGCTGTACACTTTGGAGATCTGCTGAGAAGACTCCAACACAGCGTAGGTTTCGTGTGCACAGCAGCAGTTGTTGCCTTACAAGTGTTATGGTTGTAGTTGGTTATTGGGTCTTTACATGCAAAAAGGTCGCTTGTGTATGGCAGATCCCATACCTGGCTGTAAGTTTAACCTGTCAGTATGCTGGTTTGATATCCATATGATGAAGTGCATTTTTCATGCATCACTTCATGTTTACATGTTAAGTCGTGAGTTAAGCCCACACCATTGATCCCATATATTTTCACACTGCCATCGCTCATACGCAGCTCCAAGCCACCTCACAAGTGTGCCATTGTGTCCACGTCGCTGACGCCGGCCGCTCGGCCCGTGAGCACCGCTGACCCCGCCCCCTCCCCCAGCCTGTGCTGCGCAGTCAGGCGTCCGTGCTCTGCTTCCTGCTGCACCTGAGCCGTCTGGGCGGCGCTGATGCGGCTCCGTTCCAGCGTCTCGCTCCGGTCGCTGCCCTGCCCAGCCTCGTGAGTCTGTCGAGCTCGGCCTCTGGGGAGCAAGTGTCAACACGCTGTGACGCGTGAAGTCTGTCAGCTGCGGGCGGCCCAGTTCGCGGTGCGCCTGCGCTGTCTGCACCGCCGTCATCTACGGGGTCTGCCCGACTGACCGTGTCCCCCTCCCACAGCGGCCGGCGGCCCCCCGCAGCCGAAGCACGCGATGCCAGCGGAGGCTCAAATGAAGGCTCTCTGGCATGGTTATTTGTCCTGATCAGTATGGGATGATGTACAATGCAGTATAGTGTAAAGGACTGTACTAAGAAACATTGGATGGTGCTTTGTGATTATGAGGCTGGTTTGTCAGTGTTATAACTGTATTTTTGTTTTTACTATTTTGATCTTATATGCTCTCATTCAGTTTTGCGCCGTGCAATCCAGTTCTAACAGCCTGCACTGTGGACCGTTTCCAGGCAAAGAACACTCTGATTGAATCCCAGCAGGCGTCCAACGTCACCAGTGGCTTTGTTTCGGCCTCCGACCTGATTTTGGCGCCGCCACTCTTGGCAAACGTCCCCCAAGGTATGCTGTATGTTAGAGGCAGGGTAAGCTCTCAGCAGTACTGGCACTGCTGTGCTCGTATCTAATTCCGATATTTTAGGCGCGAACGTGCCTCTGAACCTGCAGCCCCACCAATAAACATATACATTTCACACATGCTGCTATGAGCCAGGGAGCAAGTGTAAACACGCTGTGACGCGTGAAGTCTGTCAACTACCGGCGGCCCAGTTCGCGGTGCGCCTGCGCTGTCTGCGCCGCCGTCGTCCGTGGGGTCCGCCCTACTGACCGTGTCCCCCTCCCGCAGCGGCCGGCGGCGCTCCACAGCCGGTCAGCAACGGCACGCGACAGCCACCCCGCCAGCCCTTCACCAGTAAGTGGCGGCTGGAGCGGGTGCAGTCGGTCTGCCGCCCCCTGCTGACGATCAGCGCTGCGGTGTGATGCTGGGACTGGGCGCAGTCGGAGCTGCCGCTGCCGATCTGACCGCTGGGAGTCGTGCTTACGTTGGTCGACCAGGTAGCGACCGCCGGTTTTGCGTTGCGTGGCGCTGGCCACGCTGCTTAACCGGACAGTGTGTCAGCGTCTAAAGGCTGTCTTGCTGTCCGCCCGGCGCTGGCGGGGACCTGACAGGCCAACCCGCTTAATCGGACAGCGTCTGAGAGCTGTCTGGCCATCTGCCCGGCGCTGGCGGCGACCTAAGGTCGGCGCTGGCGGCGACCGCTTAACCGGACAGTGTGTCAGCGTGCGAGAGCTGTCTCGCCGTCCACCCGACACCGGCTGACCGAGGTGCATGTGCTGGACGACCCACAGGTCAGACAGAGCTGTCGGAGCAGACGCTGCTCAGGGAGGTGCTGTACGCCTTCCAGGGCATCGAGGGCAAGTACCTCAAGTCCAACGCCAAGCGCGACCACGTCACCATCGACCCCAAGGTCAGCGGACAAACGGCGCACTGTCGGCCCACCCACAGGCAGCCGTCACACGCCACGGCATGCGCGCTGGGAGTGGCCGGAGTGATGGCTTACGCCCTCAGTCTCGGCTGCAAGTCTTGTATTATACACCAGCAAAGGATGCAACCTAATGTATCATGCAGACCAGTGCGGGATTCGGTGGACGTTTTCGTACCGTCATCGATACCGTCATCGGTCGTCAGTTGACACGAGTGGTGCCGTGACAGCAGAGGTTGGCTTCGCTCGGCCACCCAGCGGACGGGACGGGCTTCGTCAGTGTGCGCCGGTCTTCTCCACTGTGGCTTGGATGTAGTCTCACCCAGCACAAAACCAGCTGTGTGATGACCACCTTTTTTGTCGTGAGGCGTGAATCCATTGCGACGTGGTCGGCTGATTTGTGCTATTCAGCGCTTGTGGGCTTCGTGGTTTCGAAATCGGGGGCTGCTTCTTTACTTGTTCTGCGATTTGGTGGGTCGGCGGTGCTATTTCCAGAGGGCACTTGGCAGGAGGGGGGGGGGGGGGGGGGGGGGCGGAGGTCGAATGGGGGTAAAAGCGCGACTCATTCTACTAATCCTTCATGAATGGTGGCGTCGTTGAGCGACAGTGCAGCTTGTTGCTGTCACCAGGTGTCGTCATCATCATTCTGATCCGTCACCGTTTGTTAGTGCCACCGGTGTTGTCGATCACCAGTTGTCGGTGTCCCCGATGTGGTCTTTCGCTAGCTGTCATTATCATCAGCGTGGTCCATCACCAGTGGCTAGTGTCACTGGTGTGGCTGTCACCAGGTGTCAGTGTCTTCAGCATGGCCCATCACCAGGAGTCAGTGTCACTAGTGTGGTCCATAACCAGGAGTCAGTGCCACTAGTGTGGTTCATCACCAGCTGTCAGTTTCACCAGCGTGGACGGTCACCAGGTATCAGTGTCACTAGCGTGTTCATCACCAGGTGTCAGTGTCACCAGCATGGCCCGTCACCAGGAGCTGGTGTCACTAGCGTGGCTTGTCACCAGGTGTCAGTGTGACCAGCGTGGCCCGTCAGTAGGTGTCAATGTCACCAGATATTGGTGTCACGAGGTGTCATTGTCGCCAGGTGTCGTTGTCACCAGGTGTCAGTGTGACCAGTGCATCCCATTATTGGGTGTCACTATCACCAGGTATGTGTCACCAGCATGGCCACTCACCAGGTGTCAGTGTGACCAGCATGACCACTCACCTGGTGCCAGTGTGACCGGCGTGGCCCGTCAGTAGGTGTCAGTGTCGCCAGGTATCGGCGTCACGAGGTGTCAGTGTCACCAGGTGTCAGTGTGACCAGCGTGAGCCGCACCGCCGCCAGGTCTCTGTGAGCGGCAGCGTGCGCGGCACGGTGCTGCGGCTGGTGGAGCTGGGCTGGCTGTACGGCCGTGTTCGGCTGTTCTGCCGCTCCGTGGCCGCCCGGCCCGACGCCGGCCTGCTGGCCCAGAGTCTGGCCTCCGCCCTCCGCGAACAACTGCAGCAGTTCTACCGGCTCATAGCGCTGATGGAGGCCCAGGTGGGGGTTGCTACCAGGTGGTGGCACTGATTAGGGTACAATTGAGGAGTATCGCTGGCTCATATGGTGATGGCAGATTTCCAAAATGGATGAGGTGGGGTGTGAAAGGTGTAATTATAAATTCATGCTTCCAGACTTCTGGCTCCCGGTGCTCTCCGCACGCTTCGCATTTCGTCGGTGACTTATCCGTTGTCCTTTGACCCCAAGCCGTGACATCCTGAGATACCCGATAGATTTGCCAAGCCCGAGGCGCCCGTATGCTAGGCTGACCGCTGCCCGGCTCGATGCTGGTCGGTGGACTCTGAGGCAGAGGATAAGCAACAGACAGTGAAGTCGAAGCCAGGAGTGCACCGACATTCCGCCGAACAGTGGTCGAGTATTGCCCCAGTCGCGCGTAGTTATATTTTTAGGTGTCATATTGGAATTAGACTTTGATGCGAATTCTTGTGACGACAGTTATTTATTGCAGCGTCGAATACCAACAAGATCTGAACGATAATGGCCTTTTGTTTCTGAGGGGTGGGGGTGATGTTCAAATCTGGTGCGATGCACTATTTTCCCTGGACTGGCCGCCCGATAGCTAGCCTGCTCGTGTGCGCCCTGCGAGCGCCGCGTCTGTCCCCCAGCTGTCGGGCGGCGAGTCGGGCGGCGAGCGGCTGATAGCTAGCCTGCTTGTGTGCGCCCTGTGAGCGCCGCGTCTGTCCCCCAGCTGTCGGGCGGCGAGTCGGGCGGCGAGCGGCTGACGCTGCGCCGCCTGCACGTCTGGACGCTGGACCCGTTCTTCCAACTGCGCTTCCTGGCGGCGCTGACGGACGCGTGCGGCGGCGAGACGGGCGGCGCGCTCGCCTCCGTGCTGCACCGCCACCTCAGCCACGGCGACCCGGCGCTGGTGCGCACCGTCCGACACCTGCTCAGCAAGGTCAGCTGGCGGCGCGGGCGGCCGGGCGCACGCGTCGGCACCGGGCGAGAGACTCAGCTAGGTCGCTGGGGAGGGGGAGGGGCGAGGTGTACGGGTGGCGCTGCTCTTGCTGAGCCGGCGAAAGCCTGGTGTCGTGTTACGGTAAACTCTGTTCAGGAGGGCTCTAGCCAGATATTAGTTATTCCTAGCTAGTTGATGTTAGTCATGCAGTACCGATTTATCCTTCACGGAAGTTCAGATTCGCCCAGCATGAGAAGGTGAGTGCTGGACGCCTTGTTACATCTCCATTGGTGGACTGGTGAACGAATGTTCGATACGCTAAGCAAGTGGATGAATGACGTCATGCTTTGACGTCTCCTCCGCTGACAGACCTGTGAGCCCATGTTCATCATGCTGAGCCAGTGGATGTTTGACGGCGAGCTGGAGGACCGCCACAAGGAGCTGTTCATCGCCGCCGACCCGTCCGTGGCCGACGACCGGCTCTGGCACGACAAGTATCAGCTGAGGTCAGCCATTGTGATACAATTTCGGACGGTGCTGTTCGCCGCTGCTCCGTCGGTATCGCGCCCGGTTAAACAGCTCTTGGCAACTCCTGAATCGCTGGGAACCAGTGGCTTGTCAGCCAGGTGACACCTTACAATGTATCACTGGATTGCTTGTGATGCTGGTGTGTTTTCATACTTGCCCTGGGCCGGGGATTTTGCCCTGGCTCTGTTGCGGGTTAATGCCAGTGAAACAGGTGCTGCTTCGAGCTCATGAGCGGTTGACAGGAGCAGCACCGCATTAGCTGGCCGTCGGAGCCACCATTACCGACCGACCTGCTTCAGCTCGCCATGTGACCCTCAATGTCGGCGCCGCAGGGAGTCGCAGATCCCCAGCTTCCTGACGAACACGCAGGCTCGGCGCATCCTGGCCACTGGCAAGAGCATCAACTTTCTGCGCCAGGTGTGCCGCGACGACAGTGGCATTCGCGGCATCGAGTCGCTGCGCGCCAAGTTCGACGCCATCAACGGTGAGTGTCCGGCGCGTCCAGCTGGCCGGCCAGGGGCAGCCGCGATACCAAGGGAGGGGAGGGCGTGTGGTCTTGGTCCCGGTCCTGGTCCTGGCCTGGTCCTGGTCCTGGTCCTGATCCTGATCCTGATCCTGATCCTGATCCTGATCCTGATCCTGGTCCTGATCCTGATCCTGATCCTGATCCTGGCCCTGGCCCTGGCCCTGCCCCTGGCCCTGGCCCTGGTCCTGCTCCTGGGCCTAGTCCTGGTCGTGATGTTCAGCTCAGTGTGTGTGTGGCGTCCGGGGAGAGAGCGGGCCTGATCTGTCGTCCTGTGGTCGCGGTCTGCGTTTGCGTAAAGATGTTTTCGGACCCTCCGAACTGTTTGGTCTTTTGTGATGGCTCCTGGAATCCTCCATGGTATGCTGCACATTTAGTAAGCTGGACGCTGCATTTTTCTTCCGAGAACTTGCCTCCACCACTTCCTCCCAAGATACAAAAAGTCCTTCAAGGCGTTTAACATATCAGTCATCTCCACATTTGCCGACGGGCTGACCCCTGACCAGCCTCCCAGCTGTTGAATTAACGCCTCTCTCAACCAAAGCCGGAGTCCGACCCGTGCCACCCGTCCTTCTCCGTCTCCCGATTCCCGCACGCCTTGGAGTCCGCCTGACGCCTGCACTGGGCGCGTGCCGCGTCCGCCAGTGGAGGCGCTGTACCTGGAGGACGGCACGGGGGAGCTAAGCGCCACGATCGCAGCCGTCTACCGCGAGACGGCCCGCCACGTGCTCGACACCATGTGCCAGCGCTACCAGTTCCTGGAGAACCTGCAGGCGATCCGGCGCTACCTGCTGCTGGGCCAGGGAGACTTCATTCGGCACCTGTTGGAGCTGATCGAGTCAGTACCCGGAGACGCAGTCGCAGCGTACCCGTGAGGCAGTGCCAAGACACGTCCACACACACCCTTGAATCAGTGCCGAATCAATGCCCACACTTGCCCTTAAGTCAGCATCGGGACTCCGCGAACACGTACGCCTGAATTAGTGTCACTAGGCGCAGCAGCTCACGCTGGCGCCTGGGTTAGAAACAAGCCACCGCTCACACGCACCCCCCGAGTCGCGGGCACACTGTTTACTGCCGTGGGAATAGACTTGCGCAACGTCTATGTGTATGGATAATGAAACAGTCTTATAGACGTGGTCTCGGCCATTGGTCTCGTCCAAAGTTACCCTCCTTGTCATCGAATTCAATCATACAGGTCCGTCCCCTCCCGTTGACAGCAAAACACAGTCCTTGAACATGTGCCCCCCAAATATGCGTAACTATCCCTTCGACCCTACCTGTTTATACTCACCTTGTTGGCGTGTGTTGCCGCGCGCGCAGACCGGAGCTGTGCAAGCCGGCCACCACGCTGTACCCGCACAACCTGAACGGCATTCTGGAGTCAGCCATCCGCGCCACCAACGCGCAGTGGGAGGCGGCGGACGTGCTGAAGCGGCTGGACGTGCGGCTGCTGAGCGTCTCGCCCGGCGACACCGGCTGGGACGTGTTCAGCCTCGACTACCACACGGACGGCCCCATCAGGACGGTGAGCGCGGCCACCGGGCAGCGCGGCGAGGGCTCAAGGTCAGGACCGGGAGGTGATCGAGACAGCGGTGGAGCCGCGGATCAGACGGGTGAGATGCTGTCGCACCGAGCATCAGCTCATCAGGACAGCGAGAGCGGCCACCGGGTGAGGGCTCGAAGCCAGGACCGGGAGGGGCTAGTGATCGAGGCAACGGTGGAGCCGCGGATCAGACGGGTGATGCTGTCGCACCGAGCATCGGCTCATCAGGACAGCGAAAGCGGCCACCGGATGAGGGCTCGAGGCCAGGACCGAGAGGGGCTAGTGATCGAGACAGCGGTGGAGTCGCGGACCAGACGGGTAAGGCTGTCGCACCGAGCATCGGCTATCAGGACAGCGAGAGCGGCCACCGGATGAGGGCTCGAGGCCAGGACCGGGAGGGGCTAGTGATCGAGACAGCGGTGGAGCCGCGGATCAGACGGGTGATGCCGTCGCACCGAGCATCGGCTCATCAGGACAGCGAGAGCGGCCACCGGGTGAGGGCTTGAGGCCAGGACCGAGAGGGGCTAGTGATCGAGACAGCGGTGGAGTCGCGGACCAGACGGGTGAGGCTGTCGCACCGAGCATCGGCTCATCAGGACAGCGAGAGCGGCCACCGGGTGAGGGCTCGCGGGTCAGGACGGCGTTAGAGCCGCATATCAGACAAGTGAGGGTGTCCAACGGACGTGTCCATGGGGACGGTGAGATGGTTACCCGTGTATTGTCTCCGGCATCATTGTTCCGAATTTTCAAATTTTGTGATTCGATGTGCGACATCGTGTGGCCCTGCCTGCACAGCCAGCGTGTAACGTCGCTCCGGCGCCTGTTTCAGATCTTCACCCCGCAGTGCATGACGTGCTACCTGATGCTGTTCAACGCGCTGTGGCGCGCCAAGCGCATGGAGTTCGTGCTCTCCGGGGTGTGGAAGCGGCAGGCCCTGCTGGCCAAGATGACAAAAAGTGAGTCAGACCGCGTGAGGTGATTGTCGCGATTTACCGATAGGGTCTAATCGTGCTAGCTTATTGGTGGGTGTGGAGTGGGCTGCAGCATGCTGTCCTCAGGCTCTTGGCTACTGAACCATTGGTGCGTAACCGTTCCACTGCAATGTCACCGGAACCGTTCGTCGACACTGCCCCCTCCCCCTCCCCCCGGCAGGCCTGACGGAGACCAGCGTGGTCCTGCACCTGGCGGACGTGCTGACCTCGCAGATGGTGCACTTCATCCACCAGCTGGCCTATTACATCACATTTGAGGTCAGTCAGTCCGTGGAACCGCCGTGACGCTGACCGAGCTACAATTACTGATTGCACTCAACGCCAGTGCTGTCTTTAACAGCTCACGTAAATTTGTGCAGTTTGCGCCGTGCTATATGCGCAAACTGCTATACTGCGCCCCTATATGATAAATGTGCCTTTGGCAACGACACATTGATCTCGGCATCGGCATGTCGTCGTGTCTGACTTCTGACGAACTTTGTCACTGTCGTCGGCCAGGTGATGGAGTGCTCCTGGGCCGACCTGACCTCGAAGGTCAAGCGGGCCGACAGTCTGGACGAGGTGATCAGCGCGCACACAGAGTTCCTGAACACCATCATGTCTCGTGCCCTGCTGGATGACACGTCCCAGGTCAGAGCCGGGTCAGAGGCCACATCCCAGGTTGTAGCCGGGGCAGAGGTTACGTTTGAGGTCAGTGCCGGGTCGGAGGTCACGCCCCAGGTTATAGCCGGGTCAGAGGTTACGTCTCAGGTTAGAGCCGGCCCGTCTCGGCGGACGGCGGGCTGCGCTGGTCCGCTCAGCTGTAGGAGCCGGCCACACGCGCAAGTCTGGACATCGATTCCTGTCCTGGCGTCGGTTGCTTGGTGCCCTCCGTCTTGTGGCACTCTCTCGTCGTCGGGCCCACCGTCCTGCGGCGCGCCTAGGTTTCCGCGCGTCGGAGCGGATCGCCGACGCTGCTGAACACGCCGGACTTGTAGGACTGGCCCGCGGCGTGTGACCTGCCACGTCCTGACTCGGTCGTACTCTCTGTCGACAGGACATGCTGCACCAGCTGCGCGTCATCTACGACCTGATCCTGCAGTTCCAGATCCTGCAGGAGCGGCTCTATGACCGCGTGGAGGCCGAGCTGGCGCGCCGCGCTGAATACCAGGCCGCGGTCAGTGTCGGGGCTGGTGGTCAGGGTCGGTACCAAGCCCTGGTCAGTGTCGGGGCTGGTGGTCAGGATCTGTGCCGAACCGCGGTCAGTGTCGAGGCTGGTGGTCAGGGTCGGTGCCGGACCGCGGGCAGTGTAGGGGCTGGTGGTCAGGGTCGGTACCAAGCCGCGGTCAGTGTCGGGGCTGGTGGTCAGGGTCGGTACCAAGCCGTGGTCAGTGTGTGTCGCCGCGGCGTGCGTCGCAGTGCTGCCTCTCCCGGGTACCGGGTCCGGGACCCAGCACAATGCAATGATCAGCCCACACTGGACCGCCCGCTGTAAAAACCAGCGATTGTAGCGTCCTTCTGCACGGTGTAACTGCCGTTTTCACAGCTACCACTGCGGCCATTGGCGCCGTGAGCGCCACGTAAGAGCCTCTTGTGAGGAGCACGCTGTTCCCTGCCACAGCGAGCGTTCGTGTCTCGTGTTCCCCGGTGACGGCCGGCTGATGACGGGGTGCGGTGGGCTGTGCGGATCAGATCGCGGCGCGCACGCGGGCCGGCCAGTACGGCACCAGCAGCGCCGACGAGGCGGCCGAGGCGGAGCGGCGGCGCGACTTCGTCAAGATCTTCCTGCCGGCCACTAAGGCGCAGCTGCAGAACCTCACGCAGGGATACCAGGTCAGCCGCGTGGCGGGCAGCGCGCTATTGCAGACGGCTGACACTGGTGGTGCTTATGTGGACGCTCAAGTGCTAAGCTAGGGCTGGGAAGTAGTGTTTATTAGCGGCGTTTGTGGGCGGATTTTTTTGCTTCTTTGTTGCATGACATCTGTTCGTTTTCTTTTGTGGGATGAGAGCCCAATGTGTGGGAAAGAAGCTTGAAATGTCTGGAACCTCATGTCCGCCTGCGCGCTGTTATGGTTCCTAGTTGCGGAATGTTCGCGTTCTTTTATTATGCCTTTGGTCGTTCTCTGGTTCTTAGAAATTCCAACTTAACTTCAATATTGGACGTTGAGCTGGCTGGACGGTACTGCAGAGAAAGTGACGCGTCTCGGCCTCCCCGACAGAACATGGTGCTGGGTCTGCTGATGATGCTGTCATCCCAGGAGGATCTCAGCCTGCAGTACCTCAGCTTCCGACTCGACTTCAACGAGCACTACCGCAGCAAGGACTCGCGCCTCTCACTACCGCTGACGTATCACCACCGGCGCATGAGCGGCGTCGGGGTGCGGCTGTGACCCGGTGGGGTCAACCGAGGTCACGGCATCGGCGGCGGGGTCAGGTTTCTGGAGGGCTCAGCTAGGGTCAGAGTACAAGCGGCGGGGTCAGCCTTCCGGGCGGGTCAGCCGAGATCACGGCCCAAGCCTCGGGGGCAGGCCTGTGGCGAGGTCACTCGAGGTCACGGCACAAGTAGCGGAGCCGGACCTCCGGAGCGTTCTCCAAGCTGAGGTCACGGAATGAGCGGTGGGGCAGACCTTTCAGGAGGCTGCCCAGAGTCACTGCATCTGCTGGCACTGGCTCAGCCTCCCCCACCCGAGGTCACCTGAAGCCATATGTTTGGCGTTGGGGTGCCTGAGGGAAGCAGTAAGCTTGACCAGGCCAGACAAAGATGTCTCCTGAAGAGAGGCAGAGTCTAGTGCTTCCCGAGGCTGCTTCGAAGGACTCGTTCACGGACCTCTGAGAGCGCTGTCAGCTGCTGACGCTGCTGAACTCTGATTGGCGTCCGCTAGAGCGGAGCTCTGGCGATAGCCGACGCTGTCCGCCGCTGTCCCCGACCTGGGCTCCACTCCATGCCCTCCGGAAGTCAGTAGGCTCGTGTCCGCCGCTTTCCCCGACCTGGGCTCCGTTCCGTGCCCTCCGGGAGTCAGAAGGCTCGTGTCGGCCGCTGTCCCCGACCTAGACTCTCCGGGAGTGAGACGGCTCGTGTCCGCCGTCCGCCCTGCGCCGTGCCGTGGCGCGCCGGTGCGCCCTCCGGAAGCGTGGCGGCCCCTCCCGGCGTCGGCTCACTGGCCGGTGTCTCGGCCGGCAGCACCTGAGGCCATGGCTCCAGCCCGCCAGCCTGCGACACGTGACGCTGGACCCAGGGCAGCGCCAGACTGGCGCCAGCGGGCGCGTACCCGGCCTTGGTCAGAGATTTGCCTGCCTGTACGCCGGTTGGATGGAGCCATACCGTATAGCCATTCCTCACTGATGATCTGTGATGCAGCCCAGCTAACCGGCTTCGCTTTCAGTCGCGTGTTGTCCTGCTGCGCGTCCGCAGGGGTGCCACGTGTTGGCGAATCCCGTCTCGCGACTCTCAGCTGAGCTTACCTCGCTGACCCGAGCCGTGCCATGCGGAGCCTGTCCGGGGTCAGCTCGGCAGCCTGAGGCCACTAGCTTACGCCGCGCGCGCATAACCTGCTGACATTAATGACCATAACCAACCGCTCACGCTGATTGTGTACATATGTCATCCGATTCGATGCCAAATATAGTCATCGTGTACTGAAGGGTACTTTTTGTTGCTGATCTTTTAATAACTAAAGCATGAACCATATTGGTCCATGTTGCTGGACTCGACGCAGTGTGCCATTAGATGTCAGTCGTCTATGATATATTTCTGCTTTTGAAAAAAGCATCTTGTGATCGCAGAAGATTGCAAAATCTGTGGCAATCGTGATGACTAGTCTAGGGTCAAAGTGATGAATGGATTTTAACGAGACATTGCTGGCGGTAAGGGGGATACAACTGCTGCAACTGGAGGACTATGATAACTGCAAGATAACTGCAAGAGCAATGTACGGATTCAACGAACTCGGCCAACACCTTTGATGCACCGAGCCCAGACAAGACGCTTCATCCACCGGCTGCGCAGAGCGGCCAAAGCTTGCTTTGCCGACTGTTCTATGCTGAACGGGTTCACGTCCCCTCAAACATAGCACATATGTGCAGGACGAATCGGACCGCCGTGAGACACAGCCAGGCTCGGAGCGTGTAATCCCCTGCCTGTTACATCGGTTGTGCCGCTCGCTCTGTCCGCAGACGCATCACCTGCGATCCCGCGCATACCGCTCATTCCATTTGCGTCAGGAGTCATTCATCTTGCGCGGCCTACACGGCTTTAGCACGTGTGGCTGTTTGCTCTGCTCGAGATCGCATTCCCGCGCGTCGTCGCGTCGGGCGGCGGCGCCTGGGCGCTCGCCGGCTGGCCTGGAGCTGTCCGCTCCAGGGCAGCGCCGCCAGCGTGTCAGCTCCTCCCGTGTCTTCCTCGCTCCTCTCCCCCTCACGGACGGGCCGGCCGCGGCTCGACGCGCACCTGCTGCACAATAAACCCAGCGGGATTTGTGCCGGGGGCGGAGTGTCGCAACGAAATCAGCCGACCGGGCCGGCGCCAAGCGTCACCCGCGGGCGTTACATGCCGACGCCAGCACATCTGACAGCGCTGCGCGTTGTGGCGCCATTGGAGCGCTTACGTTGTGCATGTGGAGTTGAAGTCAAGCGACACACCCACGTGCGCACGGAATGAGAGCCGGGAAGTAAACGGGTGCAGTCTCGTAACCGCCGTGAGACGCTCTGAAATGCCCGCTGGCGGTTAGGTTCGGACCCGACCACCGCTGCCCCGAGTTCATTTTTAGCCTGTGACCTCCCTGCTGCTAGCTCCAAATTGCACACTTACTAGCCGTGACGGCCTGGGAATGTGGCAGCGGGCCAGGGAGCGCGGCACCGTTGACGACGTGACGAGCCGGACTCGGCCTGGGACTCCTGGAACGCGGCACACCGGGACCCCGGCGTATCGCGTTCCAGATAGGGTCTCAGAGAAGCTAGTGGACACGGCGCCTTCCGACAGAGCCTCCTTGCAAGGATTCATAGAGGGGCACATCGCCGTACCAAGGTACAAGACCCAACGGAGATGACCAGGCACCGGAAGACCATGCAACAAAACGACTGGGCGTGGATCTGTTGCATGGTCTTCATGATCGACAACAACCCACCCATTCACGCAGCTCGACACTCACAGTAAAAACAGCCGACTATAGCGGCGATGTATGGTATGTGACATGAAGAACAGTCGTGTTGGTACAATTACAGCAACGATCAGGCCCCTGACCCTGTCCTGGAACCCTAGACGGCAACGCAGCACACGGCTGCTGCGGGGAACAGTCCTAATCCCGGTGCATGCCCTCTGTAGCCGACAGGTCAGAGGAGTGCAGTGATAGATGGGCGGCCCATTCGTTCGATGGTGTGTTAGTGAGGCTTGGCCGGCATCGAAGAAAGCTGAAGAGGCTGCTGTACAGTCGGTTTTGGTCGCGTATGAGACGAGGGGGGTGCTGGGCATCAACAACATTTGGCGTTAATTCAGGAATATATACGAGATAAAGGAATTATTTGCAGCATTTTATTTATTATATCTTCAGGATTTGGCCATACACTTCTGATTGTATAAATCTTTTGGACGAGCGCCCATGCATTTTTTCGCTACATTGCCATTCAGTCGAAGAACTTCGTGTCAGGTGCGGTAGAATTTTACAGCAAAAACTGCGAGCCGCAATCTTTGCAATGCCCGTCCTATGGGTAGGAGGGTCCGTGCTATCCCTCTCTGACGTCACCTGATCTTTAAAGGAGAATTTCACATCTGGAGATATAAAAGCAAGCATCAAATATTACGAAACAAGCTCACTTGTAGCTATTTGTGTTTTTCAAACGGAAAAGACTGCTCTAGACAACTAAATTCTCAGTTTAGTAAATATGCTCCTCAATGCGCCATGGTTTGATTACATCACCGTACCTTATACAACATTGACTGAGAACCAAGTGACGGCAGTTATACCTGGAAATCGCGCTCACGAACGCCAGATATGAATGACTCGACAATTATATTTTTCTGGGCCTTGAACGCCGCACGGCTTATGGCATCACAGGATTTGAATGAGGTTATAACGCCAGGGATGTCTGCATGAGATTACAGAAATAATTTCCCCGAATTAGTCTAGTCATCGAAACAGTCATCGGACTAGTCACCGCGATGTTTTTTTGCGGGCGTGTAACTCAGAAACTAGGGGGACTTAGGTCTTAAGAAGCGCATAATTGTGAACAGCGCCGAAAGGTCTTCAAGGTGGGCATTTCAGTTCAAACTCCCATATAAATATGGAATGCTCCCTTCAGGGGCAGTGTTCCACACCGTGCGCTTCCAGCCGCAGTTCATGCCGACCATGACCCAATAGTGGCCGCGAGAGGCGTCTCGAACCCTCCCCCGCCAGTTCGTCATTAGGGTTGCAGGTGCTCTCACCAACTGAGCTATTGAGACGGATTAAGTGATGGAAGGAAAATATCAATTTCTTGGTTGTGAGCAAGCTTGGGAATACGTATTGGCACCTCCAGAATAATGGAACAACATATTTATAATGAAGAACAGGGAAGCGTAGCAACGTCAGCCTGTCCGTTTCTATTTTCAGAACTGTATCTGACTAGTATGCGGGAAGGGTAATTATCACACGCCAATAAGATCCCTCAATACATTATTTGTCTTCATGAAATCCGCAGTAGCATTCAAACCATACACTGGCACAGCCAGTCGCGTATTTTTTGTTGTTTTTTAAACATACATTTACAAACATCAACAATCACTAGACAATACACACGCAGTAATCAGACATGATATGGGCTGGGCAGCCATCTGCAAAGGTCGACAACGGCCCCTGTGTCGGGGTCGATGCGACGCGCACTGGGGCGACAACAAGCCACACCCAACCTGCCATGGCTAGTGTGCTCTTAGGAATAAGCGTGAGCGTGCTTTGAAAGGGAGAAATGGAAATAGCTTATGAGCCTGGCCAGTCGTGTGTTTTAGTTGGCTGAAGCCAAATCTTCATATGCATATCATATCTTTGACTCCTGAGCACGTCAGTGATGTTTTTTCCTGTATTTTAAAAGGAATTTTCCACATTTGAAGATAATAAAGCAAACATCAGATACAATAAAATAATCTCATTTATGACTATTGGCATACTTTTCAGTGGAAAAACTGCTCTGGACAGCTCAATTTCTGTTTGGTAAATATGCCCCAGAATACGTCATTGTTTGATTACGTCATCGTACCATGCACAACATGAATTGATAGCCTATTGACGGCCCCTTTATCTGGGAATTGTTCTCACAAAAGCCAGATATGAACGCCTGGACAGTTATGTTTCCTTTGGACTTGCTGTGATTCCTTCTGAACATGTGGATTTGTTAGTACGGATGTGCCGAGGTTTTTCAAATGCAAATGCTTGTCCGCAAAACTAACAGCTGACATTCCT